GTGGAAGGCTGAGACAGAGAGACACTGCCAGCCGCCATGATGAGAAACAGCATGTGAAGATGCCGGTAAGCCACGAGCCATGTGGCAAGGTATAGATTAATGGAAATGGATTAATTTAAACTGTAAGAACAGTAAGCAAGAAGCCTGCCACGGCCATACAGTTTGTAAGCAATATAAGTCTCTGTGTTTACTTGGTTGGGTCTGAGCGGCTGTGGGACTGGCGGGTGACAGAGATTTGTCCTGACTGTGGGCCAGGCAGGAAAACTCTAGCTACAAATGGCATCCAACGTGGTGGCGAGAGTTTCCACCTAAAAACCTGAAAAAAGATTCTAAAACGGAGCTAAAAACAGCTTCCTAATTGTCTCTCTCAAATGAGCGGCAGCTGCCGGTTTGAGCTACTGGCGGGTTCCTAGTGTGCGCGCTGGACCTGAAGTATGGCAGGAATGAGGCCTCTGCAAGTGGCACATTAAGCTGCATGGTGGATTTAGACTTTGCTAGTACAAAAAAAAAAAAAAAAAAAAAAGAGGTTTCTGGGCTACATGCTGCTTGGCTAAAAGCATAGACCCACGATAGCTCCCAGAGCTGGTGGTAAAGTACTACCGCCATGTTGGGAAGCTGAGGTGGGCGGAGCCAGCAGCCACAGCTGCTGCAGTTTAAAGCAATAGATTCACAATAAGACAGATTCAGATGTAATAGTTTACAATGTGTGTAAAATATACGTAGGCTTGAAAGAGACAAAAAAAGGTGATATATACAGTTATATAAACAAATACATAGTTTTAAAAAATAAAGTCTTTAAAGAGACAGTAAAATTAATATAAAAAATAAGCCACATAAAGATGAATATTACACAGAGAATTGGAATTGTGTTGTCTTTGGGATTTTTAACTGCAGAAAAACATTTGATTGTAAAAGCTGTTGAGTTATGCCAAAATGTATATTTTAAAGGTATCTTGACTTCAAAATTTGGATATAAGGATATGTTGCTTTGGAAAAGAGTCTCTGCTTTTGTTCCCACAGAAAGCCAAAGGCTATGGATTTGTTCCAGATTAAGACACATCAGGTTTGACCAGCCAAGACCCCCTGAAAGGTCTCCGATGGCACCATGGCCCAGATGATCCAACATCCAGAACTGTTTCAAGGTGACTGGCTCAAACGATACACCCTCACGGACTACTCCATAATCCTAAAATTTTCTTTGTGTCCCCATAAGATACAGCGCCCCCCTCCAGCAGGAAGTAGTAAGAGAAGCTACGCCCAAATTCCCAAATTATATGTAATTTTACTTTGTTAAGGTTAAAACCTTCCTTTCTGGAAAAAAAAGAAGGGGGGAAGTGCTGTGGGATGTTCTGTATGGCAAATGTGTTGCTGATTGGTCAATAAATAAAACACTGATTGGCCATTGGCTAGGCAGGAAGTATAGGTGGGACAAGGAGGAGAATAAAGCTGGGAAGTGGAAGACTGAGACAGAGAGACACTGCCAGCCGCCATGATGAGAAACAGCATGTGAAGATGCCGGTAAGCCACGAGCCATGTGGCAAGGTATAGATTAATGGAAATGGATTAATTTAAGCTATAAGAACAGTTAGCAAGAAGCCTGTCACGGTCATACAGTTTGTAAGCAATATGTCTCTGTGTTTACTTGGTTGGGTCTGAGCGGCTGTGGGACTGGCGGGTGACAGAGATTTGTCCTGACTGTGGGCCAGGCAGGAAAACTCTAGCTACAGGGTTATGGTAGAACACAAGAAATTCATTCAGCCAGGAACAGGTTTTATGCGACATGCAGGAAGTGTGGTGGTATTATTGGCCTTTGTAATGACTAGGAGATATAGCAGTGCTGGGGATGTCTTTCTGTATGCTGTGAATGTGTTGCTCTGATTGAATGATAAGTGAAGTGCTGATTGGCCAGTAGCCAGGCAGGAAGTATAGGCGGGACAAAGAGAGAGGAGAATTCTGGGAACAGGAAGGCTGAGTCAGGAGACACTGACAGCCACCTCCATGAGAAGCAAGATGTAAAAGTACCGGTAAGCCATAAGCCATGTGGCAACTTATAGATTAATAGGGATGGGTTAATTTAAGATATAAGAACTAGATAGCAAGAAACCTGCTGTGGCCATACAGTTTATAAGTAATATAAGCCTCTGTGTGTTTACTTGGGTCTGAGCAGCTGCAGGAGCCAGGTGGACACAGGAAAACTCCAGCTACATAGCAGGATTTTCTTTGGACTGCCAGCTCTGAAATAATGACACAGAGACCTCTTATTAAATTATGAAAGCTTGGCCGGGCGGTGGTGGTGCACGCCTTTAATCCCAGCACTCAGGAGGCAGAGCCAGGCAGATCTCTGTGAGTTCGAGGCCAGCCTGGGCTACCAAGTGAGTTCCAGGAGAGGTGCAAAGCTACACAGAGAAACCCTGTCTCGAAAAACCAAAAAAAAAAAAAAAAAAAAAAAAAAAAAATTATGAAAGCTTGGCTTTGTTCCCAGTTAGCTCTTACAACTTAAATTAACCTGTTTATATTAACCTACGTTCTGTTTGTTACCTCTGCTCAGTACCATGCCTCCTGCTTCCTCTGTGTCTAGCTGGTGAATTCCTCGCCTCTTAAACCTGCTTCTCAGGTTCTGTTCTGTCCTGGGAAGTCCCACCTACGGCTGTTCAGCTCCTTATTAAACCAATCAGAAGATGCCTTGGCAGAGACACATCTTCACAGTGGATAAAAAGATTATCTCACCACAAGGAGATGAGGTGGGTGATGCTGGAATTTGGTTGATGCCAGCCTGTCCTGCCCCAAATGCCAGCAACATTTCTATGGAGACACATGGAAATGACAATCTCTGGGACTTGAGCGATGGCTCAGCAGTTAGGAGCATTGGCTGCTTTTCCAGAGGACTGGAGTTGGATTCCTGGCACCCACATGGTGGCTAGCAATGGTCTCTAACTCCAGTTCCAGGGGATCCAGCACTCTTTCCTGGCCTCCACAGGCACAGACATACTCTAGGCAAAGCATCAGTACACAGAAGAATAAAAATAAATCTTAAAAAAAAGGAAATGACAATCCCAGTGTGGAAATGTAACTTCTATTGATTATAGGTTAGATCCACAAGTGCATGTCACTTAATTACATGACAGAACCCTAAACTATATAAAGACTTTCCTTACACAGGAGTAGTAAGCTCAGAAAAAAGAGATTTGCCAAGGCCGTGGGTACAGAGCTTTTCAATTCAGGTTTAAAATCAAAGTCTTTTCTTGCAAAGTGCAACGCTTCAGGAGGCTTCAGGAGGAGGGCCACTCTGTGTGTGCACATGTGTGTGTAAGTGCGTGCGTGTGTGTGTGTGTGTGTGTGTGTGTGTGTGTGTGTGTGTGTGTGTGTGAGCACAGTTCTAAGAGAGAAATAGGATTACAGTCAAGTTAGGCAAGGCCATGTTCCCAAAGTTCCCAAGTGCATTGGGAAGCTAGAATGTTGGATATCTTTGAAAAAGTCACAGATATTCCTAGATAGTATTTTCTAGAGCGGAGGAGTCTTGAAGTGGGGGTCTTCTTGCTTTGTTGCCATGACTCAGCTCTCAATGGTCCATCAGAATCTGACTGCTGGCCTTAAGATAGATATACTCTGAATTCCACTTGTCAGTCTTAGGTCTGTTTCCAGGTCCCAAACCCGGTTCAGACACCAGGTGGCGCTCTGACCCCAGCAATCCCGCGTGCAGGTCCTTGGCGTTGATGCGGGTCTACTGGAAGTTGTAGCCGCCGCGGGAATTACACTCCCTGAAGCGCAGAAGCAACTTCGCTCAGCAGCCGCCTCACCCTGAGGCGTGAACTGAAGCCAAGGCTGATCCTCACCCAGGGTCTCAGGTGAAGATCAGAAACTAGGCAGAGAGGCCAACAGCACGCAAATTCGAAGAAAGCATAGGTGACTTACAGCAGCTCGAAAGGCTGGAATGTCTCAGAAACCACCTTGAAAGGTGTCGAGCATCCCCCGCGTGCGCTCCCAGCAGGACGTTCCGGAAGCAGTTCGGGAGCTTATGAGAAGACTTCTTACTTTTCTCTACCTCCTGCGCCGGCAACTGATGAAATTACACTCGTTTTGGTCTTTTCTCACAAAGTATGGTATTGCTAAATGGTCGGCATGTATGCAACTCCCGCTCTCCCATTTGAGCCAACAACTTCTAGTATGAAGGTGAATACCTGGGCTTTTTTTAGCCTCACACAAAAATGGGAAGATGACCTTTTAAAGAGCACTCAGAAGGCCGGAACTCAGGCCCAGGTCCCCAGAAACCCAGGGCTCTGGAGTGCTTGTCCCAGGGCAGGACTTCTCAAAGGGCGTGGCCTGCATGGATCAGGACCCCCAGGGTTTTGATAGAGGCTGAGTCCCTGGGATCCGCCCAAATCTACTGACTACAGTTTGTGCATGGGGAAAGGAAATCTGCAGGTCCAACCGCACGAAACTGTCCACATGTAGTTTTTACGACGAAGAAAACCCTCCAATTTAACATTCCTTCAGTTGATTCCCCTGCACATAAAAGTCTACCTGCGGCGGCGGCCTTGCTGTGCTGGCCTCTTGGACTTAAGGGACAAGGGAGAGGAGACCCTGTGGGACGACAAGGCTCATCTTTGGGGATGGGACCTTTTGGAGCTTGGGATGAAATCAGGAGTGCTGGAGATCTCTCAAAGGGACCTGGGCTCTGGTTTAGGATCTGGGAGCACAGGCCACTTGCAGGGGACCAAGCGGCTGGTCATCCACGCTCTGCAGCCGGCTGCCACGCGCACCTGGGTCGGCTGCCAGGCCTTGGGGGGAACTTGGGAAGCGTGGGGCGGGCTCCTCTGCAACTGGAGCGGGGCGGGGATGCTGGAGAGGAGGAGGGAAAATGGGGTCTGTCTCCCCCACCTCCCGCCCCCGAGGCCACCTTCGGCTTTATAATTGGCTCGCTCAGCGGTTCCTTTCCTCTTATCTGATCCTGGGCGAGAGGCGAGGAGGGGAAGCTCTGCAAGGGAGGAGGCGGCGGGAGAGGGACAAGGAGAGGACAGAGTGAACGACAGGGAAGAGAAGCTAATTAAGAAAGGGTACTCCGAGGGAAGCGAGCTAGGGCAGTGGTCCGCTAAGAACCAACCGGCGGCGGCAAACCTTCCCTAGGCGCCAGGCGGTCCCCAACCTGGGCTGGAAAGTTGCCCTGCACAGGTCAGTCTGTCTTTCGCTACTGTTCTTTGGTTCGGCTTTGCATCATCTATAGGTGAAGAAAGAAAGCCGGAGAGAGTGAGCCACCTGCAGACGAAAGCGATTTCCAGGATCGTCCACAGCACGTGTGCCCGCAGGATGGCCTGGGGGACCTTAGGGGTGAGATAGGAGATCGTGCACACAGATGCCTCTCCGGGGACCACAGGGCAGAGAGATTGCAGGCGCTGAGTGACCGATATGGGGACAGCAAAGCAGCCCTCCGTTTCTCTCTGGGGATTTCCCCATGGTGTCCGGGTGCGGTGGGCGCCGGGCAGGAACTGGCTGCCTTTGGCTGCCCTACAGTGGTAGCTCCAAGCGTGTTCTTCTGGCAGGGACTTAGGGATTTGTGTGGAAGCGCTGTGTAGGCATAGAGCGCAACGCTGTTTAGATTCTCCTTTGCTGGTGCCTTGGGAGACTTGTTCATGGAGACAATTCATCCAGACATTCATTGTACTGCTGCACATCCTGGCAGCTGTGGACCAGGCTCTGAACGGAAAGAGGAGCAGCTAGGCAGAGCTCATAGAGCGTAGAATGCTACCACGCTCCTCCTGTTGCTGCTTTGAGAGGAGCCGCCGGGCTAAGATGCTGCCAGAACCCTCTTCACTTAATTTCCCTTTTATCTTTCCGAACTCGTCTCTGAGTTTCCTTACACTCAAGCCTCTGGGCATCCAAGGCGTCTGCAGAAGCTGGGCTTTGTGCACAGTGTGCACAGGCAGGGGCAGGGCGAGTTTAGGTCAGTAGAGTACCCTTGTTACTGAGTGGCAAAATTTGGAGTTCTGCAGACTTGGTGCTCTGTGGGAAGCTAGTCTTGCGGCTGGAGAGCTCAGGGATGCTTAGCCTAGGTCCAGGAGAGCTTTCAACTTGCCCAAAAGAGCGCCCCTGAAGACCCTTGCATGCAATTCTCACAGTAGCCCGGATCCCCACCCTCATGCCCTCATCCCTCCCCATCAGTCCAAAAATGGCTTCTAGAACTGCCTGAAGTCCCAAGAAAGATTTTCTTGTTAGGCAGGGTCATATGTAGTCTAGGCTGGTCTAAAACTTTCTTTGTAACTGAGGGAGGCCTTGAGCTCCCAATCCTCCTGTCTCCACCTCTCAAGAGCTGGGATGACAGGTGTGTGCCAACACCTGCCTTTAGACTCTGCCGGAAGGTTTGGGGAGTTCCTGGCTGGTGGCAGCTGGAGAGGTGGAGTGGGAACAGGAAGAAGGGAAGTAGGAGTCAGCCTCCTGTTGCATCACAGTAAGGAGAAAGGAAAACGAAAACGAGTTTTCTCCATCCTCATTTGCTGGAGGCCCTGGCACGCAGCTTCTACCAAGGGCCAAGAGGGCACTTCTTTATTGGGTGAAGTAGCAAGCAGGCTCAGGGCGGTTGGAATGAGGAGACTGGGTGTTCTGTCACTGATGAAGGATTCCAGCTCTGCATGTAGCCTCACTGTTACATTAGAGATGTGTGGGTGGGTGGACGGATGGACCGATGGATGGATGGATGAGATTTAGATTGGCGGTTAAGAGAATAATGTGAATGGGCTTTGGTTGAATCTAGGCTCAATGCCATATTTTGGACTTTCTTTGGTGGGTTTTTTTTTTGTTTTGTTATTTGTTTTATTGGGACAGGTTGTCACTCTGTGGCTCTGGCTGGCCTGAAACTCATCATGTAGCCCTGATTAGCTAGGACCGTCTTGCCTTAGTTCCCTAAGTGCTGGAATTACAGGCTTACACCACCATGTCTGGTTCCTTATTTGTATTTTTTTTTTTTTTTTTTTTTTTTTGGTTTTTCGAGACAGGGTTTCTCTGTGTAGCTTTGCGCCTTTCCTGGGACTCACTTGGTAGCCCAGGCTGGCCTCGAATTCACAGAGATCCGCCGGCCTCTGCCTCCCGAGTGCTGGGATTAAAGGCGTGCGCCACCACCGCCCGGCCCTTATTTGTATTTTAAACAGTTTACTTGACAATCATTCCACACCGGATACAACCCACACATTCGGAATGTATAATTCAAAGGCTTTTAGTATATTAGAGTGGGCAGTCAACATCACAAATTAAGAATGATTTTAGGTGCCTGGAGACTTGGCTTAGTGATTAAGAACACCCATTGTTCTAGAGGGTCTGAGTTTGGCTCCTAGCAGGGGCATCTGGTGGCTCACAACCACCTGTAACTCCTACTTCAGGGGATCAGACAGCCTCTCTCTCTCTCTCTCTCTCTCTCTCTCTCTCTCTCACTCACACACGCACATACACACACACACACACACACACACACACACACACACACACATCCCCAACACACTACATACATACTCACACATCCCCCCACAGACATCCGTAAACACATCCTCACACACCCACATGCCCCCCCCCACTCACACACAAATACACACTCACACACACTCAAACACACACACACATCTCCACGTATCACATATACACACACATCCCCCCTGCACACACACACACACACACACACACACACACACACACACATTCCCAACATACCACATATACACTTACATATACACACACACTCACACACACATACATCCCTCTACACATCCACACATCCCCACACACCATATACACATATTTTAAAAATTTTAAAAAGAAACAAATGTTTTTAGTATTTCCAAAAGAAAACCTTCACATGTGGACAGTAACTTCCCAATTCTTTCTGGACTGTCACTTAGTCTCTGGGGATTTCATATGAATGGAACTATACTACATATGGCCCTTTGTGGTTGATCTTTTCCACCTACTAAGATATCTTTAGGTTTTATCTGTGGTACACAGGGTATCTTTTTTTGTCTTTTAATAAACATGGGACACTCTCTCTTTCTTGAGGAGCCCTGAACCAGAACAATCCTGAATCTCCATTGCAGCCCTGACCTCCTACAGGTCCCTTGGAAAGGACAGGAGCCACCCTTGTGAGGCCTCTTAATAATTAATTCTCTGGGCAGGGTTCCTTGGAACCTGTCAGTGTTCCTGGAGTAGTTTTGGATGCCTCCCAGGCTTCAGGATGGATGGGAGGAGCTCTTTGGCCCTGATCCTGGTGCTCTAGCAGTCCAGCTGAAGATTTGAGAGAAGTCTCTAGCCTTCCATGCTGTTCAGAACCCTCGGGGGCTGGCCTCCAGAACAGGCTGAGCAAACTAGAGCGACTAATGTGCGAGTCAGGGAAGCCCCTCACTTACTAGAAAGACCCCACAGGGCACGTTCCCTTCAGATCTTACTTCCCACTGCCCCCTATGAAGACACAAAGATCCTTTTCCTTTTTCTTTTTTTTTTTGGAGCTGAGGACCGAACCCAGGGCCTTGTGCTTGCTAGGCAAGCGCTCTACCACTGAGCTAAATCCCCAACCCCTTTTCCTTTTTTCTTCTCGCCTGGTTGTAGTTGACATCGTCTGTAGAGATGCGACTTCTGCTACTTTGCAATCACTCTCAGTTAAATTCAGCCCAATGACCGCTGTTTTCCTGGACCACAGAGTATAATCATCGACAGCTTCTTTAAGTCTTCATGAATCGCTGCACACTGGGGCTGTGCTGTGTGAGCACCACCGAGCTAACACACGATCTGCGACTATGGCGTGCGTGCAGGACTCACGAGATGATCACTCCAGGGACTGGCCGTGGAGGGCGGGGGAGGGAGGCAGGAAGAAAGTGTGAAGGGAAGTGACAAAAGTTTACTTTTGTCTTAGAAAATATGCCCTTGATAGTGTTGGATGTCCAGAAAGCAATCATTCTCTTTTACTCCTCATAAGTAAATAAACGGTGGCAGGGGTCCTGTTACTCTTTTATACATTAAACTTTGAGTGTAGGCTGCTTCCTGTTCTCATGGGGATACTTACCCGTGTGTGTGTGTGTGTGTGTGTGTGTGTGTGTGTGTGTGTGTGTGTGTGTGTCTGTCTGTCTGTCTGTCTCTCTGCTGTTTGTCTGTCTGTGTTAGAAGCTGCGCTACTCAGCTTTCTGTCACCATAACAAAATACTTGAGATAATTATAATGAGCGAAGATGTGCTCTGGCTCATGGTTTAGGAAGTCTTGTCCGTGGTGAGTTGGCTCTGATGATGCTCTGGGCCTGTGGCAGGGCAGTACATCAAGTTGAAGTGCACAGTGGAACAAAGCCATTTACTTTGTGACCCAGGGAGTGAAGGGAGGGAAGGGGAAAAGTCCTGTCTGAGACAGCCTTCTGGAGACCCCTCTTACATTCTACCCCCTCCCAGAGGGTCAAGCCTTTAATACGTTGGTCCTCTGGGTGACATTCATAACCCAAACTGGAGCAGAAATACTGGCACATTCCGAGTGTTTATTCCTTTCTCTGTGAAAAAAAACACAGTATCTTCTCATTACTTCGGGACATAAATGCTATTTCCCGAAAAAGCCACCAAACTCCAGGGAAATACGGTATCTCCTCTGGGGTCACAAATCTAGCAAGCGACAGGGAGATGATTAGACAAAAGGCGCATGGAGTCTGACGGGTCCACACAGCTTTGGCACTTTATCTACCAGTTTCTCTGCTGAGGGATGCAGTAGGGAATGTGTCTGGAACTGGAGTGGATGGCGTAAGCTGAGGTCACATGCTCTGGTCACTGAGGCAGAGGGATCTAGGGACCGCTTAGAACCAAGCTGACTTCTAAGAGTCTGGTTGATGAAAGCAGTTTCTTTATTCTCCCACTTCGTTCTCTTCTTCTTTCCTCTTAAAAAGTTCTATAATTTTTTTCTTTTCTTTTCTCTCTTTTTTTGGATCCTTTATTTTGTGGGAATGCGACGGGAAAGGAACATCTGTGGGTCGTTATGAGAGCCAAGAGTACAAGCCGGAGTGTGGGGCTTAGAGACCCAAATTCTACCAAGGTTGAAAAATGTAAACCCCAGCATCCCTGCGAGGCTTCCTCTCTTCTCCCTATGTGTTGTGTATGTATGGGCTTGTATGTGTGCATGTTGTGTATGCAAGAGTGTGTGGGTGTGTATGTCTGTCATGTACCCAT